AAAAAAAAAAAAAACCTAATTAAATCTCAGCTAACTTTAATGCTTGTGGGAACAAGTCGATAAGCTTTAATATCCACATTTTATGTGGACGAAAGAAAAAAATGTATCTCCCACAGAATTCGTCCACGTAAGAATAAAGGTCCGTTTATACATATCCGTACCGTATCCGTACCGTGTCCGTACCGTACCGGCAAGATTCGATATGAGTATTTACACATATCCGGCTCGCATCCGTGAATATTTTGAAACATCAGTCTTGAGACATACATCTGAAATATCGGTCGTCTAAAATTAATGCTATTACCGCTAATTCGTTTATCGATAGCTCTGCCATGTTCACAGTTCAGATGTATGTCTCAAGACTGATGTTTCAAAATATTCACGGATGCGAGCCGGATATGTGTAAATACTCATATCGAATCTTGCCGGTACGGTACGGACACGGTACGGATACGGTACGGATATGTATAAACGGACCTTAAGTCCTTTCCCAGTTTTTTCCCTGAGATCTGCGCAGTCGTAACACGTCATTGAGAAAAAAATTCGAATGAATCCGAGGAGAAACGAGTCGGCATGAATCTCGATGAGGCATTTTTAGTCGTTTTATCTTATTTTTATCTGATGAAAGCATACGACAACACACACATTAACGGCCTCGATTATATTGACCTACTCAGCCTATGCAAGCATATTACGACGTCGACGAAGCAACAATCACAATTACGTTGATAATAACGGGCTAACTAATTTTTCTTTACTACGTGGCTTCACGAAGGTCTCCGGCTTTCTCGACACATAACTAATTGTCGTCCTGCTTAAGAAGAAAAAGTCAAGACCGACCGCTTGACGTCTGCTTGGCGGCTCGTTTTTCACGATTTTCTTTCTTTTCGGTGGCGTGCGCGCGTGCTTCGTTGCCGGCATACCGCCGGCGGTAACAGAACGGCGCAGGAGAAACAGGAAAGGAATTGCGATAAATTTCGGCGCGACACCTCGATGAGATGGATACACGCCGCGACCGTTTAAAATGTTAAGATAGAAGCCCTCTCATTAATCTCCGTGCAATTAAGAAACCCAGCGTGCCGCAAGAGGCAGTATCATGCAATTGATTAATCGTTCGATTACTCATTGAAGATCGATGAAGTTCTGCTATAAATTTATTTTGATACATTCGGAGAAATAAGTTGGGAAAAGTGCTGCAATATTTTGCAATTAAGCCGAAATTCAGGAAACATTTTTTAAAATAAAATTGTAATTATTTTAATTTAAAATAACGTATTTATTAATATTGTCGTAATTAACTTGTACATTTAGATATGTTCAAGTATCATTATTTTTCTTCTTGAATATATTTCTATAACTCGAAGTTTTTTTTTTGCGAGAGTGCGCAATAATTTCTTAAATCGTGAGCCTTTATCGCTTGCGAGATTGCACGTATCGCATGAGCATTTAATAATCTTTATAGCCAATTATTAATAACCCCGTTTGTATTTGAGAAATGTAATAAATAGTTCTTGTCTTATGCGGTTTAAAGTCTTAATTGGTAAAGTTGTAGTTGCGGTGATGCGAAAGTAAGAATTAATGCAAATAGTAATGCATTGCCTTTCCGTTTCAGTGTGCGATTTTAACATTTCTTTTTTACGATCGCGGAAGAAATGTTTTTGCACAAATCATTTACGAGAAGCTCGAGTAGTATCTTTAGCGCAATTTCCTTATTGAAAAAGAGAATCGACTGTTTTAATTTGAGAAACTAAACTTCACCTGTATCCTCCATCCAAATATAAAAATAGGTAAGAACTTCAACTTAAATTTTTTTATTTACTTTGCGAGAATACGTCGAAAACGAGAGTCTTTCGAGGACATCAGCATTCTACGGAACGTCGCGGGAGATCATCAACTACATGACAAATAACCCGCTAACAATATTTAATCGCAAACATTTTCGCACAGTCGTAAAGCTTCTACCGTGGCGTTTGTTGAAGGAGATCTGTGTCACTGGGCAAAGATTGAGTTTTATTTCTCGTAAAAAACGAGTTTAAGGATATTCGTCTAGTGTTTCCTCATCTCGAAAGCAATAAACAATCCTCAACTACATTGTTAGAGATCTACACGCTCTAATCACATGCGCAAAAATTAAAATAAAAATATAGAAAATTTTATATTTTATAAAAAATATTTAATCTTTAAACTAGAAAATCTCTGTAATTGGAAATAATTAATTAATTAGAGATAATTAATTAAAACTGTTTTTTTGTGCTTTTTTTAGACTTTTTTATATAAATATTGATATATTTTATATAAATATTGAATAAATAAATTTTAATTTTTTAATTTCCAGATAACTCGCTGATACAAAAAATATACGGCGTTTGACGCACGTGTGTTTCTGTTGATGCGAGCATGATTTAATTCTTTCGAAATACACGGTCTCACAACAAATAAATATTAACATAATGCTGATGGAATGTTTATGAGTATCGCGAACCGGTATTCAAAAAATTTTGGCAATATTTTGTGCTAACAGTCGAAAGGAAAATTGCATGCAACTGACGTGTCAATTTATTCCGCTCGTTGCGCGTCATTGATTAAAACAGGAATTCTCGCGTACGACGAAGTAAATATTTTTTCATCCTTCGTTTAAAGAAACTCGTGTGATTGTGCATAAGAGGAAGAAGAAAATTTGCATGTATCTTTGTAAGCGGCGTAGTTATTTCAAAGAAGATGCACCTGCCGATTAATAGCAATTACGGAAACAAAGAGCCGAACTCGCAAGCGCTCGATCATCCCCGTCGAATGTCGAATTGCCAGTTTCCGACGCGTAATAGCTTCCAGGAAACGGCGCAACAAAAATTATTCTCTCGAGTTAATAGACAATTACGTAGACGCAGGCTAAATGATAGTGCGCGCCCGCTGTACCAGCTGCGGATATGCGTGGATACATTCTAAATGCGCTTTTGCATTCGCGTAGAATGCGGCAACTGATGCGCCCGATGTTTCGTAACGCCGCACTTGCATCACCCGGTCGTTGTGTGATGATAATTATTATTTAGACTTCTCGTTGCGGCTTTTGGAATTGTTCAGTGAAATCTCGTTTGAACGAATGCACAGTAATGGACAATTAAAACGTAATTAATAACGGCGACAACTGCAATCGCGGTACAATGCGAGCATTGTAATTTCCGATCAAATTACAAATGTGCCAACGTTGTTTCTTTTTTTTTTTTTTTTTTACATTTGACGACTGAGTAACCACAGATATTGCTTTCGTTGCATGCGTAAGACCGGAACCTGTCAACAAAGCTTTCTATTATTTATATTCCCGATTGAGTGCTTGTCCTTCTCAGAAATTCTTCTTTTTCGATAGTTAGGTACACATCGGTGGACTGACATTACTAGATTTATCGGATTTACCAACGAGTCGGCTTGGCTCGTGTCGCTGAAGCAATATTTGCCTTCGCACAGACGCTTCGCAAATCCCGTTTCGTCGAGCTCGGATTCAAGGTTTCTCTCGAAACGACTCATTACATCGAGTTCGTAGTGCAGTGTAAATTCCCGTCCCAAACAGGCAGAACACGAGCATTCGTAATGGAATACATGCCGTTTAAGCATCGGTCATTTATTAATGACTTCGCTCTTTTTTTTTTTGCGCAGATCATCCACCGCGACCTCGCCGCCCGAAACGTCCTCGTGGATCACAACAAGCTTTGCAAGATCGCAGACTTCGGTATGTCGAGGTTCGCCAACGACGACGGCGAAGTGATCGAGACCAGGCACGGCAGGAACGCCTTGCCGATCCGCTGGATGGCCCCCGAATCATTAATCTACTCCCTCTTTACGACGAAGACCGACGTCTGGAGCTTCGGCATCCTGATGTGGGAGATCGTCACTTTAGGTAAGTGTCTTCACCGTTTGTTTTTTGAGAATACCGGTAGCTTGTTTGGTTTCGGCGATCGGTAGCTTGTTGCTGGAATAAATATTGTTCGCGTCTGGGAGTCCGTTGTCTCGCTGTTATTTGATATGAAAATAAGGATACACGTGTGCGGGCATGTTTACGCTGACAGTGTGGAAATGTTGCAAAACAGGTGCGAGAAATAATACGGCTGATGTGGCCGCATTAATTTTGTATTTCTATATTAATTGAATATTAAATTAAATATGAAAATTATTTGATTGATATTTAATTACAGAAAGAGCCCGAATAAAATATTACTATACGTGTTGTTCAGTTTTTGTAGCAATTTTATTGGTTAAAAAAATGCAATGTATACAAATGATATCACATATGAGTAAATCGAGGAAAAGGCCCATTTTGTACCTTGTTAGAGCGCTGTGCGCCAATCGATGGGTCGGTATCGCGCGCAGTAGCTTCCCACCGCGACTTATCATGCCTACATCCCATCGTAATGACCGTACCACCTCACGCTCTCTGCTCAGGTTCAACACCGTACCCGGATATGACGGCGCGGGAAGTCATGCGGAACGTGCACAACGGTTATCGGCTGGAGAGGCCTTCGCACTGCCGAAGCGAGCTCTTCAGGGTGATATCCCGATGTTGGCACGCCGATCCCGACCGCAGACCGGAATTTCAGACCTTACGCAGGGATCTCGCCCAGCTGCTGGAGGACAACATGAATGGACACTATGTGGACTTGGAGAGTTTCGCTTCCGAGTGCACTGACTGAGGGAAAAAAGCAGAAGAACCTGTTGGCTTGTTCTCGACCGCATCGGAAAATCGATCTCGCGATGAGACGCGCTTCGCTGTGCGACTGCATCGAAGGGATGCGAAGATTTTCTGATGTATTGATTCCTGAAAGCGATTTCCTCTTGCGAATGGAACGGAATTGGAATTCCGTTTTTGGATTAAAAAAATCGAATTCCAAGAAATCCAGGATATCTTGTGTTTTTACTGTCGATGTTCTTAAACTGTAAAAGTTCTCGAAACTTTATATCAGACATACATTTTCGGTTCTCTACATTATTGAAATACGCTTGAAAGTATAAAATCGCTAATTGCTAAACGCTGAGAATATTAAATTAAATTAAATGTCATAAAGTCGTCTGTGAACTCAGATTCGTTTAAACTCATATTCTACATAAATATCGCTCATGAATAATTGCGAAACACTACAACCACATAGATGATATCTGATAGATGTCACTGTCTAATTATAAAATTAAAAAATTATGACGATACGCGACACTCGGAGCGTTAATTTATTACGCGGGTATGTAACTCGGCAATAACACCGGTTGTACTTAAGAATGAATCTTTATCTCTGCGTGCTTTTATGATTCGTTGAAGTACACATATAAGTAATAACTGTAATAATTAATCATGCGATTTTCCTTTTAAGGAAGCACGCAGAACACAGGAACGCTGCAACGCGCGATGCTGTGATAAAAGTGACGAAAATGAAAAAAATTTTATATAATCGAAATATTAAAGAGCAACGGGAGTTTGTAAAGTCCGCAAAATATAAGTATTTTATGTAGTATAGTATTACTGCGTATGTAATGTCTTTAGTTGTACGATGCGCCATTCGTCAATCCTTCAATATTTACATCTTTTTCATTTTTATTTATAAACGAAAAATATTATATCGGACAATGAGTGTGCACACACGTATTTTTACGCACTTTTGAGGCTTGCTATTGCGTAACATTCGATATAAATTAATCCAATCTTATAGATCAGGAAAGATTTTGTACGATACGATCATGAAACAATAACGGACATTATTTTTAATAATTTTGCCTAAGTTTTTGGTACTTACTTTATTCCGAACTAATTGTTCATTCTATCGAAAATACACAAAAAGAGAATACAACTTGCGGAATGACTTGGTTCTTCTTGAATACTTCAACGAGACTCAATTCTTGCGTCGCGACATTTGTACATATTGTATCCCTCGCGCTATGTATACATAAGAATATAAATACAAACATTATATCCGTCGGAAATCAAACAAAGATGTCTTATTCTCCGAGCCGCATTAATACTGTAATAATAATAATTATTACCGCTTAATAACTCGTTATTAGGTATGTATATCTCATATTTCCGACCGCGTCCGGCGCGTTTATTCTTAATCATTCTAGTCTTTCGCGACACGTTCTGGGGCGGCGATTGGTATCGACATTCTCTTCATACTTTGCTTTGATGAGCGTTGCGAATTTGCTCGAAATTGCGATATCAATGATATATTAATATATTGTAATCGCTCTAGAGAACCGATTAAAGCCCCTCCACTGTTAGTTGATTATTGTATTAAGTATTTTTATCTCGCTATCCCTTCTGCGACGTCGTTTTTATTCTTTGAAGCGACTTGGCTACGTCTGTTATGCGAGACATCGTTCTCAACTATATTGCATTTTGGGCGTTGCTTTTGCGACAAAAAAAAATGGTTGCGACCAACACTGTATGTACACTCGATTGTAATAAGAATTTTTGTCAGTAAACGTTGTGAAAAAATTTAACTGTTTACACTCTATGCCACTCATGAATTTGTGTTGAAGTTCAACGCGCGCGTATAACATATGCTTCGAAATAAATCATTGCGTATGCAAAAAACATAATCCAACTGTCATGTTCTCCCTTTGTTAAATTTCGAAATAGATGATCTCGGAAATGCAAAAAATAACGGCGTGAATTATAAAATATAAGTATTTAATAAAAAATTTTTCTATTAAAAAGCAAGCTTTACGTATATATAGCAAATTTTATTACAAAATAATAAATGTTTAGTCATTATTGTGGCATTTAGCATTTTAACAATTAATAATTTAATCAGTATTTATCACTTATTCCGAACTTAAAATAAAATATTTTGACTCTGGAATTCTAATCATAAATAAATTTTAGATTATAGTAGTAAGAGCTTTCAGGAGGGCTCATTTTTCAGTATTATAAGAGTTTTACACTCGAATACCAAAATCGCACCGCTAAAAGCGAGACAGTAACAAAGAAAATCGTAGTCCAAGATTTTCTCCCGGGGGCATTTAAGACCGGCCAGGCGAGTATGCTTCCTTCTCTTTCAATTAGAAGGCGGACTTTACGCGACTGGTCCCTGTGATTTATGAAATCGTGCCCGCAACAGACAACGCAGATTTACTGCAACGGGAATATAGATTTATGCGCGCGAAAGCGTCGGATGAGATAAAGGTGCAATATGCAAATACATCCGACGCATTTTGTCATAGTCCGCGGGTTAATAGAAGGTGGTGGACAGCGGAGATTTACAGGTGCCACCGTACTATACTCCAAAGAAGGTGCCAAGGTCGAAGGAATCAGATTCCTGATCGGGATATCGATCTGGCGATTGCCATTCCTCGACACGAAGGCGCGAAAGAGATGGCTTGATAGAATCAATTAAGACCTCCCAATCGCCGTGACGATTTGATTGCGTGAGCATAACGGAACTGTAGTGCCGTATCGGTTTCTATTTGTCGCAGTTAGAGAATTAATCGGAAGAAAATGTATTCTCTTGCACTTTTCAATCAGTAAATTAGAAAAATTTGTTTTTAATTTAAATTTTAAATAAAGAAAGATAAGTAAATATAACTGTAAATTTAATATATTTCAAGATTTATTTTAAATTACACGTACAAGTCGCAGCCAAATTCCGTACTGTAATAGTATCCTCTGTTTTTTTTTGCACTCGTATCAAAGCTGTACGCATCAGTTCACTCTTATAGTATTCATGATACAGCATCCATAGAGGCGAAGGCACTTATCCGCCTCATGGTTGTCTTCGCTCTTTTGCGCTCTTCGTAATACCGAACGAGTGCGGTGTGTGTCCGATGCTGCGGATCGTTATCGTAAATTGGATCGCATTCCGGAAATCTCGAAATAATCGTAAAACGTTCTGGACTCGTTTATGGCGCAAAACAGATCCGCTTACGCTGATGAAAAAGCGACAAATATTTCACGCTCGATTATTTCACGAGCACGCGAGCGCAACATTAAGCTTCAATCAAATCAAATTTATCAAGAAGTATTAGTCAAGCTGCAATTACTTTTTTGTAACTGGTACTTAACGCCAAATAATGTAGCAATTGGCGAAAAGCGTAAGAAATAAAAAGGTGTTAATGCGCTAAGAGAAAAGAAAAAAAGCGTTAATATGAAAAGAGAAAGAAAGCAAAAAACGTTGATATAATTGGATAAAGACTTATAAAGACCTAAAACTGGAAATTTTACTAAAACAGGAGAAAGCGATTGATATCTTGCTAACAAATTTCTGATTTTTCGAAAGCAAAGAACAAGAACTATAATCTAATTGTGATGGAAAATAAAGTGGGAGAGATTCGACAATTTCAGTCGCACGACCGTGACACTGCATTTTATTGTATATAAAGAAGCTGAGATTAGAACTTTACCTTTCCAAATGATACATCATGTATTCGTACGATCAGTAGATCGATTGATGATGATGTCTTCTAAATGGAGAAACTAATCATCCTTTCGTCGTACACTTTCGAAAGTTCAATTAAATGAAGCTTACATGGAGGCTGCTCGAAATGCTAAGCGATCGATTTTCTAGAGACATGCCAATAATCATATATTACAATCGTATGAGACTCTCTTCTCATATCTTACGTTTTACGTGATTTTACGAGCGTTTTGAATAAAAATCGAGAAATCTTGCATTAATAATGTAATCTTGTAATGTAACGAAAAAGAAAGAAATTGATCGAGAAAGAAATGAGAGTTTCATTGAAACAAAATAATCACATGTTCAAGCGTATAATTTATACTTTACATTTTCATCATCTTTATTTCGCTCTATTTTATTTATCTATGTTTTATTTATTCTTTCACCTCGCTATTTTATATATTTCTATTTCTTAGTAAAGCGCTAGATTATATCGACTTTCTCTCTATTTTCTCGTCGACCTCCGAGAACCTTCACAATTGTCTCAAATTAGAATAAAATTATAATAAAACGTTTCACATGGAGGCTACGCACAATTTCATTGAGGTCACGATGCACACATGCGGTGGCGGAAAAAATGCCAACGCGGGGCTATCTTTAGCGAAAGACTTTCGCCGCAGAATCCTCTGCGAGCTTCGTAGCAGCAGTAACCCTTGCGCTTGAGCTCCTTTCTAATTTGTAGGAGTTAAGAAACAAAATAGAATCAAAAGAAGATCCAAGAACAATTCGCGTTCCACTTTCATTCATAACGCCACCCAATATCTCATCTTCCTTATTTTTTTCCTATTTTTCTCGAATCTGCCTATCATTGCGGTTTTTTAGAAATCAGGCGCCAAGAAAGCCATATATAGCTGCTCCATGCTGATTCACAGTTTTCTTCCTCTCCGCCATGCGTCATTAAAATACTAAGATATTCAGGGTACCAGAATGCGAGATTAGATTATAAAGATGAGTGCATTTATATCTGTTCCACTTTAGTTTATACAAATGTAAACAGGTCGTTCCACTTTAAGTTTCGACATGTCTTCAAAGGCTTGAAAAGTTGAGAGCACACTGAAGTATCTTAAAAATTAGATAATTAAATTACGTAATATTTTTGAAATCAAAACACACTCTCTTATGCATTTCATTAATAACGATTGCATTAATCTTTTGCAAGTGCTGATTTCCAGAACGTATATTTATATTCTTACACCACTCTCGGTGCGCTCTAATCCAGCGCAACTTTACAAATATAAAGGTCCGTTTATACATATCCGTACCGTATCCGTACCGTGTCCGTACCGTACACGTCCGTGCACGGATGCTAGATTCGATTCCATATGATTAAATGTAAGTATTTACACTATTCCGTATCCGTGCCGTCCGTGTCCGTACCGGCACCGCAGATATCGTTGGCGACGATATTTTCACGGACCGGAAGGCACTGAACGTGTCGGTACTGACAAATGTAAATAGGCTTCAGTGTAGCATTCAGATTTTTGAGTCTCATTTTGTATCAATCTGCGATATCGAGAGCATTCTTTTAAAATAAAGAAATGGATTATGATAGAATTATTTCAACAAAATTGATAGAATTAGTGCAACAACACATCGAATTATACGACCTTTCCCATCCAAAATATCTTGATGGAATTTATAAAGAAAAACTGTGGCAGAGTATTTCTCAAGAACTTGACCAACCAGGTAATTTTACTCATGATAAATATTATTTTACAAATAAATTTTTATATTCATTAAACATCATTTTATTTGAAGAAAAAATACACAATTCTCTTCAAAAATTTATACATATGTAGGAACGTGTTTTCGCTAGCCGGTTCTCTCCATCTTGTATATTGTTTTCGTATTTTATTATCAATTAAATTGAGTAACACATTAAAAGCATGTTCTGACATTCTAAAATATTGATAAAATTTAGTTGCATCATCAAAAAATTCTTTATATGTAAAATGTAAAAAATTCATCTTTTTTTTTTCGTTTTGTCCATGCTTTATGAACCCATAAAATCCGTTTTTTTTTTTTTAAGATTTCTCTTCGTCTAAAATTAATGCTATTACCGCTAATTCGTTTATCGATAGCTTTGCCATGTTCACAGTTCAGATGTATGTCTCAAGACTGATGTTTCAAAATATTCACGGATGCGAGCCGGATATGTGTAAATACTCATATCGAATCTTGCCGGTACGGTACGGACACGGTACGGATACGGTACGGATATGTATAAACGGACCTTAAGTCTTTATAACACGCGACCCACATTCTCCGATTGTGGCTCTTCTGGCCAGCGGCGTTTCACCTGTCCGCGATTCGGACTCGAGTGCGGAAAGGGAAGAAGGATATGATGAGTCTCGAATGATTCTCAAAGCGACGATTAAAAATGAGAGTAAACCTGTTTCCGCGCCACGCAAGAGTTCTTTAGAGAATCGTTTATTTTTTACAAAACTGACGATATCCCGTTAAGGGAAAGGAGAGAAATGCAAATAAAGTTGTTTTTTCAGATATATAATTAACAAAATAAAATCCGACGAATATTCATTTACAGATTACTAAGATAGTGCTGTTGAAACTCTATAATAGAAGAGGCTTGTTTCGCTTTCCGACCAACCGTTTTTCTCATGGCTTTCTCAGCTTGTCATCCGAATTTACGTTCTCACGGTTTAGAGCGTTTACTCTGCTCATTCGCAGCTGGTAATGCCGCTGGTTCACGTAATCAGCGACTTAATGCTGATTTACGGATCGGCAGAAGACTCGCCGTGAACTCACATCGATCACTTTCCTGTCGATCACTTTATAAAGTAATGAGAAAAGCCGCTGAGACGTTTAAAATGACATGAGTTGTCAGAACCGCGAATGTCACTCCGTAATTAACTTTAAATACCATCGTAATGAATGGCACAAAAGTTTTATCTTAACATTCATAACATAGCGTGATATTTATTTTACACGTTGAAGCCTCGAAGAACATTTGAAGAATATTTTATTGTTAATCGCGTGATTTGAGATCGTTCTCTCTTTTACAAAAATGCAACTGTTACACTTTAATGCGCTTAATTCTATTAAGAGCGTAATAATTCGATTGTTACGGCACAGCGGCGATCTGCATCTGTGCGATTGATTATTAAACATTCTCTGAGGCCTCGTTTCGCAGAGCTGAGTCCTTTATTCCACAACTACTCATCCTCTCACGAAAGTGGGTCGATTGTAATTCTTAATATCGAGGGAATTAGCCGCGCACGTTTTACTCGCGACTTCGAAACAATTTAATCGCGCACCAGACAAACGTTCTCTAACGACGACGTGCAAATCTGTACACCGCCGCGGTAACGTTAGCGCGTCACTAATCGAAGACGGTAATACTGGCTAATCGTACGTCGAAACGCGCATTCGCGCATAACGTAAAGGCGCCGCTTTCACCCCTTCCGTCGTCATCAAGCAGCTGTTATTAGAAACGGAATCCGCTTTGGAGGAGACGAATCTCAAGTGGAGCGAAGCAGTAACGATTTTCGGACGCAGCGTCGCTTTCGTGAGAAAGAAAGTCGCTGACGTAAGAGGTCTTAACCGTATGTTAATTCCCGTTATTTCACCACTAATTATTCGCTATAAAAGGAAGTAGAGACGTAACTTCCGGAGAACTTTGTTTGGTGATCAGGTAAAATTTTTTTTTTAAGTATAATTATATGACATATAGTTGACGAATTTTACGATCATTAAAAAAACTTATATTGAAAAAAATTTGTGAAATTAGTGACACTTCAAAAATAATTTATATTAATGCCGATTTCTAGAAAGATACCATGTAAATAATTTTTAAATGGCACATATTAAATATAAATAGTTCGCATTTTAGGTGCTTAAGCAGATTTTACTGAAAGAGAAGAACGAAGAAACGCATATTGTTATAAATACGCTAATTATAATAAACGCAAAATATAATTAACATGAGAAAGTGTTTTTATATGGCTCGTGCTTATCATAGCACGATCTTATCGTGCCTCTAATATGTCTCGTGTCGAAATACATGTGCATGTTATACTGTATATGTAAAATAACACTTTCTCGCCATTTACCTTTTCACAGATATTACATAGATCACTCGATATTACAGTGCACAGTACGCTTTCCAAGCAATTTCATGTGATTTAATCTGAAGTGAGAAAGTTTACGATTGCAATCCGCAATTGCACATGGTAGTTCTAGTAATATACATGATGTTATACAATTCACACTTTTATAGTCTGCTCTGCAAACGAGCTAACTCTTCGTCAACAACCGATGTATCTTTTCGAATAAAACTTCAACTAATAGCTTATATCAAATGAAATTATTTTAAATGCGGTTGCATCATGCAAGAATTTACATCGGATCGATTATTACATAATTTTTTAGATATATACACATATACATACACGGAGAAAATTTTATATCAAAAATCACTATGTACGACAGTAGCCGCGGACCATGAAGGAATTATAAAAATTTTTACTATGTTTTTGATGAAACAGTAAAAATTTTCGGTCCGCGGCTACTGTTGTACATAGTAATTTTTGATACAAAATTTTTTCCATGTAAAGTTAATGTAAAAGGAAGTCCTCAATAAAAGAGCACACGGTCCATCAGCACACTTTCTGAAATAGTCGTGTTTATAAGCTGTCACGATGAATTTGTTGAGAGCAGTTGAATAGAAGACAGATATGCCATAGAAAATACCAAGTACAAAATTAGGTGAGGAGACTTTCTCTAAACAATCGCATATTGTTAATCGCATTATCGAAAGTAAGAAACGTAAAGTGGCAATCATAGAGAAAACAAAGTTGGTCGGTGGTTAACCCACTGCTGTACACTCATCATTTAATTTATTTTTACGATATGATATTTTATAAATAATATGAATATCTAAGTCAGCCAAGCGTGATATTTTATTATTAAAAAAATGAGTTTTTGCAAGAGTGCTGAACCTCAAGTTAAATTATGCGTGACAATTCGGTAGCGTGGAAGAGTAATAAAAAAAAATACTTTCTTTTTGTTTAACATAGTGATTTTTTTTACTTTCATTTCTTGAATATGTATTACAATTACTAGACAAAAATAATTTTGTCTAATTTACATGTTATTTTATTAAAAAATTAAGGTCTAATTATAAATATGTTTTTAATAAATTTTTTAATTTCATAATATTTGTAAAAAGAAAAATTATACAAAATTTAAGAGAAAAATTACTAGCTTTCTATCACTATATAGGTTGCCAAAGACATTTTGTAGATCTGTAGAGTCACCTGCTTCACGCACGCGACAAAAAGATCGAAGTAATCGATGGCGAAGAAAAGCTTTCTCGGTACAATAGACTGTCACATCGAAAGTACCAGATCTAGAATAGTAATCATAAACAGAATACTATGTTGATCATCCGGAATAGTAATCATAAACAGAAAAGTTCATCACAACTCGACAATCATGATATACAGAGTGTGTTACCGTTTCGTTTCTCATTTTTTATCTATAAGCTCTTTGATTATTTTGGAGTCGGTTTTTCTAAGTCAAAATTAAATAAAATAAAATCTTCTTTCATAATTTTAATTAACTATTAAATAAAAAATCTGTTAAAGAGCAAAGTTAAAGAGCAAAGTCTCTAAATAGAATAATAATAAGATTTTTTTCATGTTCTCTCATTTTGAAAGCTTGATCCACGAAATTTTCTAGGTCTTCGACAGCTTTATTAGCTCAATACCTTTTTTAGAAAAGATATTCAGGTTGATGAAAAAAGAGTAACTAATTAAAAAAAAAGTACGATGAACCTGGGACACTTTGTATACTACAATACAAGCATGCGATGCTGCGAGTCTGTTGACCGAGAGTAAAGCCTCGCTCTCTCGCATAGACGGAGAGGAGGAGCTCAGCTGGCCGACTTCTTCCTTCTCTCCAGTACGACACGCTTATCCACCAACCCAACGACGGTCCAGTTTTCTCGGTCACGGTTGCACGAGGGGGAGATTGCGGGTTCCTACATTATCCCCACGTGGTCCACATGGGGGAGCTCTTCGTCTCCTACCACCACAGGAGAGTTGCCGTTTCGCGCTAGTTCGAAGAGCAGATCGGCTGCAGGTGGATTTGGCGAACTGACATCGGTACCGAGAGGTTCTTCTAGAACAGAGGCCCTCCGTCGTTCATCGGTGCGGTCTGCCAGTTTTGAAGCAGGTTTCAAACAATCTGGGATAGTGAACTCGAATTCGTAATATTCGTGAAAAAAGTTCTTCCGTTGAGTGTCTGATAATATAGTTCCATGAGAGTGCTGAGAAATTGATGAACCGTTGCATGACAGTGACAGTGAAATCCGTGATACTTGCGGATCTGTTGATATTGAAACTGTTGATGAATCTTAGTGGTTTGCTAGGATGAGGATAGGACGGTCGTGTTGGGTGCTGCTGGTAAGATTGATTCATTAAAATTGATATTAATTTTTATCAATTAAAAATAGTGTATCTTGCGAGTTTTTAATTATTTACTAAGTCCATTTTTGTCATATATATATATATATATATATATATATATAACTAATTA